CATATTTGGACATTGCATTATATACCTGGCAAGTTGCAAACATCAGAGTTGTGTGGTTTGCTATGCATAATGTGAATATTACTACCGGTAAGACTGTTTCTTGATTCACAGTCTGTCACATGTAGCTATTGTCAGATGGGAGTATATATATGAAATACCGTAAAATCTGTATTAGAAGCCGCATCCCTAATAGAAGTCGCACCCATTTTTTTTGAATAATTGAGAACCAAAAATTCATCATTTCTCATATGTGTAGATGCTCTATTAGAAGCTGCATCCCCTCTGTTGCATTGTACCCATTTTAATAGAAGCCGCGGTTTCTAATACAGATTTTACAGTAAGTGTTATGCCCAGAGTATTTCAATTGTCCAGGCCATTCTTGGAGTTTTTTGAAACAGACAGTGAATTAACAAGACAATAAATAAATGAATCGATTGACACTTCTTTTATATACAAATTACCCAATATGCTAGGGTATTTTGGTGAGAGAACAATACAAGTAACTAATCCTTGTATAACCATATCATTACTTTATGTATGTGTCGCTTTGTTTACTTTCCAGTTTATGCTATCCGAGAGGCAGCAACCAATAATTTGAAGAAATTAGTTGAAAAATTTGGAACAGAATGGGCTCAGGTGAATAAAGTGTTTTCTTGTCTGTTTCTGCTTAAAACAACTGATACTTAGACTGATGATTTATTGTCCTCAGTTTGCAATGAATCAATGTCCTACAATTGTCAAAACCAAGTACTTTTTTAATTATCACATTTTAATTTTCTATTTCTACTGATCCTAAATTTGTATATCGAAAAATGTAATTAATATTTATGCATGTGTGTGATGTAGAATTTGAATTTGAATGTTTTAATGTCCAATCAAAATGACATACCATAAGAGACATTAAATGAAAATACATTTGCCCATCTATGTATTATGTAGTTATCTTTAGTTGAACTGTGTCATTAAAGAAATACTACTTTTCTTCTGTTTTAGAATGCTGTTATACCAAAAGTTCTGCTAATGGCACGTGATCAGAACTACCTGCACCGTATGACTTGTTTGTTTTGTGTCAACGTACTGGCAGATGCATGCGGAGCTGAAGTAACTGTCAAACTTATGTTGCCTGTTGTACTCAATCTTGGAGGTGATGCTGTTGCTAACGTCAGGTTTAATGTAGCAAAAACATTACAAAGAGTTGGCCCAATACTGGATTCAAAGTAAGTATGAATGGTTCATAGTTTGCCTCAACAGGATGCCTGATAATGAAAGATATTGATGGGCATTGTAACTAACACTGATGTCATTGATTTTTATACACAGTACTGTACAATCACAAGTAAAATCATGTCTGGATAAATTAGGTACCGATTCTGATGTCGATGTGAAGTTCTTCGCTCAAGAAGCTTTGGCAGGTAATGTTGACCACATCTCATCCAAACTGATAATGGAACAGATCTTACACAAAATTGATGAAGACTGTGACATTAGACGTAACAACATTATCTATACACTGAAAAAAAATTAAGATAATTTCAGTTCTCACTGTTGATTAAGAGTTGGCATGGTTGTATTGCAAATACGTGCATGTATAAACTAACATGTTACAAAAATGACTCTTCGTTATCCATGTAGGTTTTGTTATGCAACATTTTGTGTGCTGAATCAGTGTATCATAACTGGTTTTAAAATTAATAAAGGTTGTGGAAACTCTTGCCTTTGATGCTCAGGATGATTGCTTTTAGTGCCTGTCCCAATTGGAATTAGTCTAACACTCGGTTGTGTACAGTACAATATCAATAATTAGCTTATCATTAACTTACTATAAAATACTTTATTTTCACTTTGAAATAATTTTCGCTGAAAGAATGATTCAGTGTAAATAAAATCCAGCCAAATATACCTTTTTTTTCGTATTTTACATTCAAATGTCAAATAAATTCCATACAAAACACCAACAAATTTTTTTCAGCAAAAATTAATTCCAGCTAAAATGAAGTATTTTACAGTACATTGCTTTCTTTGGAATTCAATCATGGAAGTACAAGGCTTAAACTTTGACAAACCACTAACTCTGTTTCATTCCTTTTCTTGCAGCTTTGTCATTGGGCTAAATATCAGCAGTGGAGTGTGTAAAGAGTAAACAAACAAGCCAGTCATTGAGTAGTGGAATCATATATCAGTATCTCATACATAGTCATGTTATGTTCTCTTCATGTTTTTGTACAAAGCAGCGTGTTCTTCTTCTCAGCACACCAGTTATCCATGGCAACACTATGGTGTAAAGTGATTGTTATTGAATTCCCTGTAGTGAAGTGAATCCTTGTAAATGAACAACGTATACGTTTGATTTCCTGTCGTTGTGTGCCATTTTGCTATCTTATTGAACTGTGACTCCCAAATCAATCCAAGTACAATGTAAGCTTTTCTTGGGTATATAAAACAGCTTCCCTAACTTGCTGTCAAATATACTCCCATTTTACTAAATCCACTATTTTCTAAACTTAAACTTTTGGTTGTTTTTTTTTTAAATATTTAGTTTTCAATGCTTACACAATAGCAGTTCAGAAGAGTATTACCGATGTAATTCCCGGTGGTTTATCGTATATTCTTGAATCGAATAAACAGCTTGTTCGTCTTTATTGAAATCTACTTGCTGTAGTACATGGCTTATGTGATAGTAAATGGCAACACATCTTTCTTAATAGGGTAGATCAAAGTAACTGTATTTTGAAACAATTACTAACTATGGGAGTGTTTTATTGAAATTTGGAAAACAAGTTGATTTGAAAAATGTATCTTGACACCAGACTCTACCAGTCTTGTCCCATTTCATTTGTGTACAGTTTACTGGGCAGTATGTCTTTCTATTGTGCTTAATTTTTGAATCAATATCTAGATAGTACAGAAAATATAATTCATTTGTAATTTTTCGATAATGGTAGACTGCCCCCAACCCCCCTCCAAGTAGCAGTGTAATAGGAGGTGGTCGTCTTTCCTCCTTCGAGACAGTTTTATGTTTGAAGCTAATTTTCTTTATGTACAGTGTGTTTGTATTTGGACACAATAAATATATGTACCTTGCAATGGTTCTGTCTTTATATATATAATGCTTTCCTTGTATAATTGTCTCTTATAAGTTGTTGATTGGTCAATCAAATTCAACTTTTACATATTGTTGCATCTTTCATATTATTTTTAGTAGTTTCCAGCGATTTCTTGTGACGTTGTAAAACCCAGACAGCTTCAATGCAGAGGGTTGTAAATGCCAGACATCTGAGAGTTTGCAACAACTGATTCTTGCAGCAACGTGACCTGGTAATACAACAGTCGGCTGATCACTTTAAGTTGAAGGTGGTGATTCAAAATATGCATGGCCATTAAAAAAAAGTTTTCTTGGTGCTCATTCATCTGTTCTTCAAAATTTTTTGGCAATTTTACCAGTGAAATTTGCCTCGTGCGGTGAATGGGGAAATGTTTATTGCAGGTTTTGAGGACTTGTGTCTGTTTAAGGGGATATCATCCATACAAGTCAATTGAGATGGATAATACTACTCTGTATGTATAAAATACATATTGGATCTCTTCCCCCTCCCAAGGAAAAATTCCATACACTGGGTCCATGTAATCATGAAGTATTTAACCCCGAAAGATTTTTGCACTTCATATAAATCCAAAGATGCTGCTTTCATTGGCTGCAGAACCATTTATTGACTTCCATTACCCAAGAGTCTTTGCAAGGATTCTTCAATGATTGGCAATATGGTTTAAATAGTACCCAGAAGTACTTTATAACTATTGAAAATAACCATACATGCCACTTTCAACAACGTATTAGTCAAATAAATGTTGCCACTAGATGGCGCTATAAATGATCAAATTGAAGACGAGTACATTTCCTGATCCATTGCAAAAAATATGTGTGCACGAGCAACTATATTTTGGGATGGGCTTGTCTTCCAGTTCTGTTCTGCACTTCCCCTAACCTCATTCCTCTTCCATATTGCTTTGATCACCGCACTTTATCCAATTTGTTAAATGCCACTCTTATTTATTCGACTGTCCATATCTCTCCATCCACCACCTGCATTGCTTACAATTGCACTCAAATTTGTAAATTCATCCACATCTTCTTTGTCAATCTCTTCTAGCTAAACAGCATCATCTTTCTTTGTCTTCATTCTCATGATATTTGTCTTCTTATTGTTCATTTTGAGTCCTGTTTGCTTTGCATGCCCGGCTAACAAGTTTGTTTTTCTGAGTAGGGTTTCAATTTATTTTTTTGTGGAGTAAGATTCTTCGGGTGATGCAGGATACAGAAACGACTTATTGACAGTTGAATAGATTTATTGAAACACTAATAAAGTCATGGCAATGCTAGACTTGTATTCACTCAGAATTCTGGCGGAAAGAGTGTCAATGACATCGTAATCATTGGTCAATTAAGATGCGCTATGACTGACTACTTTTCACATCCAGTAATATGGGATTGGTTACATAATTTAGATGTATGATTGGGCCAGAGGCAGAAGATCGGCGTCTGTAATGAGGGTCGGTAGGGGGTATTTTCGTAAACTGTAAACAATTGTTTTTATTTTCGTAATAATTAATAACTTTATTACACGACTAAATCATCAGAGGATTTACTAAGGTAAAGGGAATAATAAGATATAAATAAACAAATGTAATAAAAACAAAAAAAAACTTAAAAAATAAAGACTGCAGAAATATCAAAATAATAACCAATATTCTCGTAACTTTTAATCAGGAGATTTATAGATAGTATTTTTAAGGTATAGTGAAAGGGCTTTTGCATTTTTCATTACCTCAAGAAAAATATCTGGTAAATTCGACTTAAGATCACAACCTTCAAAAAAAAATTCTCCGTTCACTTTTAAAGGAAGGACGTTTAAGGATAAAATTCTTCTCATCATCAAGAGAATTTATGTCACATGTTCTGTCATCTAACAAAATTTTTGGTTTGTTCAATCTCTAAATTGCGATCACTGAGTCTAAATTTATTTTGCTTTTGTTAATGGAGTTACGAACACTAAGTTACGAAAACATTGAGTTACAAAAATGACCACACCCATATTTTGCGAACCACGCCCTCGTTTTAGAAACCACGCCCAAATTGTCACTCGATATTCAATTAACAGTTAAATGAACTGTGAGTTATTAATGTATGATGCCCGTAACTCTAAGTTATGTTACATGTAGCATGAAAGTGATTTCTAAAATATGGATGTGGCCATTTTTGTAACTCGATCTCCGTATCTCGAACAATTGAGCATCTCTGTGGAGCATACGTCCACTGTGCTTACGTCTTCCCCGTGTAAGAGATTTCCCAAGCACACGGACGTACATGATAATATACTGTTTAATAACTTGCAATATCTGCCGCAGAAGATAAAAATGTTCAAACAAACAAACTAAAACAGCAAAGAAAATAACAAACACAAATTAAAAACACAACAAAAACACGTGATGCGTGAGAATAACTAGCCACCTAGGGAGTATGCAGATGTAGTCAAAATGGCGACGGTGCTTGATATTCGGTTGAAGAAAGTAAATAAAATATACCATGAAGGGGTAAGTTGATATTTTATCCTTTGTGTGTACCATATTAGTTACCGTCGTTAATGCAATATTTGGAGAGTCTGTTGTTTTAGAACCCTGTTTTCGCTCTGTCGATATCCAGCCCGACTCTTATACTTAGCTATTTTAGATTAGTGTACGATTTACATGTCGACTTATTACTTATCATTTATATATATTGTAATGTTGTAATTTGTCAAAGAAATCTTTCGTGGGGACACCTTTCTCCAGTACCTGTGATTGGAAAGAATGCTAACAAATCGATAGTCACTTCCGGGTGTCATTAAAGTGGGCGTAGTATAGTATAGTATAGTATATTTTATTTGACACTAAATAATATATTTTGTTACATTATCTGTGGTCAAAAGACATTAAATATATTAAAACACAAGTACACACACGAGACAAAAGAAAATACATAAATAACTAAAGTCTAAGTAAAATTACTTATAGTAAAATAAAATGCTGTCAATAAATTTGCTAGCACTATTGGCAATGAACCCATCTCTCGAACTTAAAATTTCTGTAAACATGTGTTCATAAAACCCGTGGGGGGGGGCAGACGTCTCAGGAAGTGGTCTACAATTTTATCATTCATTACTGATATTATAAATAGAAAGCTCAAACTACTATTAAAAGATTCCTTTTACTGACACCATCATATTGTTTCAAACACCAAAACAGCAGTATTGACATCTAAGTTACTGACTGGTTCGTCCACAGGGAACCCAGGAACTATGATCAACTGTACGCACTCCCTATGAGCGG